TGTCCTGAGCACCCAGCAGCTTCTGCAGAACATACCACGGCAAGGCTGGATTAAGAAAAACGCTAAACCTGCAAAAGCATTTAATAACCGTTTAACTGGCTAAAACAACCAACGCCCTGCTGTTTATAGCTGTTAAAAGTGTCTGGACAAAAATGAAGCATCGGAAAAGAATAACCTTTGCAGTGTTTAATCACAGAAGCCATACGTCGCATAAGAACCACACACACATTCACACACGCTCACTGCTTAAACACACTCAACAGGTACTGTACAGTTACTTTAACTTCGTGAGATGAGCAGTATTTCCCAAACTTAAAAGCTGCCAAGAAATTCTTGTTCTGTTTCCAAGACACTGGATTTAGTCAAGTTACACAGCGCCACCAGCCCACCCTAAGTGAGATGTTCTAATTGCAACGAAACCCACACAAATACAAACTGCTCGAGTTTCCAGCCTATCGTTTTTTGGAAGTTTACTGGACTCTGAGTGGGATTTTCAAACGTGTGTAAGTGATTTAGGACTGAAAGTCAAAGGAGCTTTGTGTTTAGGCCCTTTTGAAAGTCTTTCCTCATTTTTAAAGTGACGCAGGCTGGATTTCAAGAATCATCCTTTTTTCAGCAGGTGGTGTCAGCAGAGCAGATGAATGAATCTCTGCTGTAACTTGGCTGAATGCTGTGGAGTTACACCAGGCTTTCATTTGGCCCATTGCGGAACTGATCATCTTGCCTGCTTTTTTGAAATTTGCCCAATAAAAGGCCTGGTTCGGATCTCCCTTATATTACCAGTAAAACTGGCTTATCTCCAGCGAGCTACTACTAATTAACAATGGATTAGGCAAGATGAAAATGCTGCCCTTTTTTTCGTCTTTTTATTACACCCTTAGAACATAATTAATCCTCATGTTGCTAAGTCCCACGCTTTATACACCATACAAATAAAATGTTGTTCTCTATCTACCCACCTCTCAGTAGACATGGAAGAGTAGATGCCATGGGGGGTGTGTGATTAGTAATAATTTACTATTTTTACCAAATATACTAACTTTACAGGTGGGATTTTCCCGATCACTCAGTGTTGGTCTATTCCTGCTCCCATAGACAGTGGGAGCAGAGAAAGGACAACATTGAGCACTTCAGAAAGCTCCAACCCACATCTACTGCTAATCGATGGAGTGTTATAATAAATAATCAAAGCTAAACCTCAGTGCCGTCAACAAAATAAATGAACAAGTTACATTTTATGGTGCATGAGCTTTACTTATTCCATTCTTTGTTCCCATGCTAATGAGCAACATTCAGTCTTTTGCAATAGGTGTCAGAATCATTTGCCTGCATTAAGCAAGGTTTCCCCATACCACATTTTTCCTTGCTCTTATTAACTCATAGCATTGAATAAGAAGCATTGTATTGTGCTGGAAAAAGAAAAAAAGAGTCAGGGAATTATAAAACCTAGCTCTTAAACAGCTCTTTCCACCTGGACATCTCAAAGCGCTTTACAAAGAGGGCCAGTATCATTATCCCTGTTTTACAGATGGGGAAATGGAGGCACCGAGCAGTGAAGTGACTTGCCCAAGGTCACTCAGCAGGCCAGTAGCAGAGCCAGGGATGGACTCCAGGTCTCCTGAGTCTCAATCCAGTACCCTTTCCACTGGGCCATAAATGGCTAGTTAGCACAGTAACAGGAGCTTTGGCTTCTTGAGCGTCTTTTCAAACACCCCAAGAACCCCAAGGCAAAAGGGAAGGTAGGCAGGGAGTGTGAATAGGCAGAAGCAATGTTCAGCATGAACTACCATGGAAATAGCTCCTTTTCGTCTCTAGGCCTCTTCATATTCCCATTTGGGGTCGTCAAGAGAGCTGAACAAGTCCAGGAGTGTGGGCTGAAGAATCCTAGTTGAGCCCAAGGCTTGTTCAGAGAGTTACCCCCGGGCTTCAGAACTGCCCTACCACAGCAAGCATGCTGTGTAGATGCCAAGCGGAGAGAGTAGCACTGGGTGAATGTTTATGCAGGCAGCAGCCCGGTAGATTTCTCTGAAGGAAATACTGCCAAGCAAGTCATCAATGCTCAGCAAAACTGCCCCAAGAGCTCATGTTCGGATAACCTGGCTAATATGTCTCAAGGCACAGGCGTATCTGCTTAGACAGGCACTGAGTGGAAATGGCATCCCATTCACACTGATCCCCAAAAGTCACAAAATGCCTCTCTGCTTCCTAACTACCTAACAAAATAAAATCTCCAAGCCCTCTTGACAGCATGGGCTGTATGTGCCCCTGGGTGAGGCTTTGGGAAGAGAACCTGGGAGATTAAGTGTCTTTCAGGGGAAACACCTTCTTCGCTCGAACTCTGGAATGAGGCCGCAGGATAGCTTTGTCTGTGTGGAGTACAGGGAAAGGACGCAGCCACCCTCCTCACAGATGTAATTGGATTAAAAATGCAGCCTTTCACTGCAGACAGAATGAGCACACCACCCAGGGCTCAACAGGGGAGTTCATCAACTTTGCCAACACCAGCCTGGGGCCTCACCATGGAAGGAGAGAGACCAGCAGAACCATCCACTGGCAGGAGATGCACTGAGGTGGCAGACAAGTGCACCATGGTAGGAAACAAGGAGAAACCAAGAGACGTTAACTACGGTCAAAAGTCCAAAGCAGATTATGGGGCTGCAGAATATGAACACAGTCTCTGCTGTTCTAGAGAGAAAAATGTCTCCCCCTTCTGACTGTAACATGCCCGTGCAACATCCCAGAGGTTTAGCAGTGGCCTTCGTGTCCTTTACTCTCTAGAGTGTTTCCGTGATCTTGAACCTGAACACACCACACCCAGCAAACAAGGGCATGAAGTGAAAAGCCCAGAACGGCTAGCACTACGAACACTCCACTCTGGCCAGGTGGTCGAGAAGGAACCAAGAGCGGTTCGTCTGTCACAAGCCCATATTACCCTTGGCACAGGGCATGAGGATAGCAAGGGTGCATGTGTGGACCATACGATCACTGCTGCCAAAAATCTCCACCTGAATTCGGGTGGAGATTTTTGGCAGCAGTGATCGTATGGGACACGTGCATGGGACACGTGCACCCCTCAAATGGAGCGTTCCCAGGGACACGGCTCAAAGGAGGAGGAAACACTGTGGAAAATTCTTTTAACAAATTCCAAACTATCAAGAATAATGAAAAATAGTTTGCATCTAAGTTTCAATGAAACAATAGTCCCAACAGCTCAGCGACATTATTCCTCAGTTGACTGAGTTACCCACCTACTGACAACAACTGAGGTAACAATTCTCAGCCATGACCTACAGAATCCTCCCATGCACCAAACCCCAGAATCCTTTCCATTTGCAAAGGACTGTGGGATTCGGGTTCTGGGATAATATTTTGCCCGTTTTGGAGGTGCTGGTTTTGCTTCTCTGGCCTTGTTCCCGCCTCTCTCCCCCCCCACCAATGCTGGAGGGTGGGAAGTTCTGCTCCAAGGGCCTGTGGAGCACCTCCCCTTCCCTGGAGCCAGGCCAGCCGCCTGTGTGGGGGTGGACGGGGAAGAGCTGCTCTCAGGTTGGATGGATGGCGGAAGAGAAGGGGTGGGAGCCTCCGCAGGAGGGAAGAGACCCAGGATCCTGCTGGGGCCTCATGACCATGGGAGTTTTGCAGCTGTCCGCTGGCAGACGGGACCCAGCAGGTGCCACTCCCTCCCCCCCCCCCCAGCCCCTGGAGTGCACCCAATGAGCTGTCACGCTGCAGAGCTGCCACGGGCCCAATCCCGACACCCTCATGCAGCGATCCCAATGCCTCAGGGGGAGACTGGCCTGAGATACAGCACCAGGATTAGAATCTGCAGGGGAAAAGCCTGGGAAAAGTCTGCATGAAAGCAAGGGAGGTGGAGGCCTCATAGGGCAACAGGAACGGCACATGCTGAAATGCCCAGGATGTGGGAGTCCCCTACACGTTGCCCTTCGAGTGAGCGAGAGCAAGCCCAAAGAGCACAGCATGGCACCTCTCTGTACAGATCAGGGTAGCTCCTTGGAGGTGAGTGCAAAGGGTTAATCATGAGAGTTCTGACTACAGAGCCACAATCCAAAGCACCCTGCATGGATGCTGACGTTCTCAGCCACTCTGAGCTACTTGTTATCAGAAGGGGACCTCCCGTTCAGATCCAGTCTAGACCTGTACTGGGCCAGTGCCCTAAAGCCACGGTAACCGATCACGGACGTCACAATCACCTCACTGTGGAGGAATCCTCGGGTGATATAGCCGGAGGCACCACAGTGGCTCCTATGTCATATCCCCTCCCTGTGGCCAGCACCGGGGGAATGGCTGGGAAAAGGTTGTGTGTCTGAAGGTTCCCTACTCCCTGATGATTCCTGGTTGCCGTATTTTCCCTTGGAAGTACTGGGCAGCTAGTGCAATTTACAGCAGCCTTTAGGCTGCTCTAACTTGCACCGGAAGAGCAGCCTGGCATACAGTGGGCCCAAGGCAAAAGTAACACAAAAGTGGCTTTAAAAAGTCGCCTTTACACCCGTGTCCCTCTTGAGCTGCAATGCTTCTTGACAGCAACCAAGGGCTTGGGCACCTAAATAGTATAACCACATATTTATCTTCTCTGCTAAAAGCAAATATCCAGGAGCTTGAAAGCAAGGTACTTTGAAAATCATGTGCAACACATAACGGGCTAGATTCTCGGGGGGAGGGGAGAAGGGTCGGGGGTCAAATGGCATAGCTCCAGTCTCTTCAATGCTGATTTACACCTTCTGAGAATCTGGCCCACCCTCTCAGCTACACTGTAATGTTAAAAGCAAACCAAACTGCAATACTGGCCAACACTCTGATCCTGCTCAGTGAGATCTGTGGAGTTTTGCCACTTACTTCAATGGCAGCAGGATCTGCCTCTGTGTTTTCTCTGTACTTGTTTAGTAAAACCCATCAAAGGAGACGGCGACACAGGTCAGCTGTAAAGTGACACGGCCAGCAGTGGGAATTTCAACTGATGCTAAAACCTCACAAATTCTCAGATCACTAATCTGCACACCGCAGAACTCTCCCCAAAAGCAGGTGGAGCTCAGTGACTATTTAACAGCTGAAAGCTGCAGTGAAATTGCATTTTACTACGACCGGATAAGTTTTACAAAATATACCACAATCCATGTACAAGTACGCTCGGTAGTAGCGTAATAAATAATTAAAACTAAGCTGCATTTGACAAAATAAATAAAACGAATTTCGTGATTCACTGTGTCGGACTTTTCAAACGGCATGAAATTCACTCATCTGCAAGGAGTTCCCTAGCGGTGAGCATGAATTATCCAGTATCTGCGTAGATTGAGAAAGATATTGTGTGGGAGAACTTCAGCTTGTGACTGGGAGATCAACAATTCAAACACAATCCAGGGGCAGCCAGAACATCTTAAAAGCCAACGCAAACATTTGCAATTGTCACCTCTTTGCCTTTTAAACCACTGCACTCTCTTTGTAAACACAAGTACATGGATACCTGGAGTAAGGCCAGAGTAGAGGTGCACTGCCCTGGGAGTGGAGCAGGGATCCAATTGTGACTTCTCTGGACCATTTCTGTTTCTGCTGTACGGGTACTGTGAGGAACTGATGTGAAATGGTTGCAGGACTCCCTATGCAATGGCATTTAGCAGTCCCGGTATTAGCGCTCGCTCGCTCTCTGCCTCAGTACCACTCACCCTCGTTTACTGCCTTTATTTTTTGTACTACTGCTGTACAATGAACAGCTGCAGGATGCCGAGGCCTTTCTCCTGAGTGGCTAATCTACTGCCCCTCACTGAGTAGTTCAAATGATTTCTTCCAATGTGTATTACCCCGGCCCAGGTCTACAGTGAATGACACTTCCCAGCATGCTGCTCAAGCATATAACTTTGGCCCTAATTCAGGAAAGTTTCTCTTCAGGGTAAACTTTAAGCATAACGTAATTTTTGAAAACCAAATCCAAACGTTGGAAAACGTTGACCAGCCCTCCTCCCAGCTCCGTGAATCGCAGTCACGCCGGGTCATTTTCAGAATGAGGTCAGGCACTGGCTAGCCTCTAGACTTCTAGTACGATGACCAATTACAAATGTTTGTGAGCAGCCCAGCCACTCCATTCATAAGTCACACTGGAACTCTTGGATTCAATACCATCTGGTCCTGGTGAGTGACTGCATCCTAAATGATCAATTTGGTGCACCGCCTCCTCTTTCAATGCTACGATCGCACAGCATGGGTATTACAGTCTAGAGCTCTGGGGTGTGTCTCTCATGGTTGTCCTTTGTGGTGGAGGCTGGTATAGAGAAATCATTTAGCTTCTCTGCAAGGTCCTTATCTTACTGGATTGCTCCCTCTACTGCCTACTAGGCTGGTAGTTTAGTAGTCCAGAATGGTTTAACGTCCATGACCAATCCGTCGTTGGCCTCTCGGCTGAGTCTGCCCACAGGTATACCCTCTGTCGCGAGGAGCTCTGCTCCTGAGCTATCTAGACATTTCTTCGAGGCCACCTACTGCAGTTTATATTGACCTGGGCTGTCTTTGCACATTAAGGATTAGATCCCCCAGACGAGCTGAAATGCAAAAGCACAAGATGGGCGGGCACTGGGAAGAAGCAAAGGTGTCTCTTAGTCACCTTCATGCTCTCCGGATCCTGGCCCTTGGCGTAAGTTAAGGCAAGCTCAGGGCTGCTTTAAGTTACACCTGGCTGCCTGCAGCCCAAAAGGGCCATTCCAGCAGCTGGGGAAGGCTGAGGTATACAGACACCCTGGCCAAGTCCCTTTCCCCCCAGGCCATGTTCTTATATAGAGGTCAGGAGTTGCTATTAAAGGAAGACTCCACAGGGGACAGGTTTTGCTGTCCCTATGGCACATCGGTGTGACTGCCACGGACAGAGCAACTGAAATGGGGTCAGATTCTGGCTTTAAGACCAAAGAGTCTCTATTCCATTAAGTCTCTGAGTCACCAGGACTTCTGTTCCAACATGTTCTTTCTAAATACCTGTGAAAAATTCAAGGGATAGTTGAACAGAATTCCTTTCAGAAGAGAACAGGAGAACACCTCCATTGAGATCAGAGAGACTGCAGAATACCTGCGCCTACTAAAAAGGAAATCAAAATTCTGGAGGGAAACGGCAGATGAACAATGCCTATTAAGACTCTATATGGCAGCGGTGTGAGAGTGTATTGTTGAGAAACACATGGGACTCCCTTTTCTACTAAAACACGCAGCCAGCGGTTGTCATCTACAACGACCTATTGCATAGTGAAATGGAAAAATAAAATTCATTCTGGCTGGATCAATCATCAAGAAAGACATGGCTTTGGGCACCCCCTTTTGCTCCCCCAAAGAGTCTTCACTTTGAAAAACCTGTTCTAATTCTGTATGCCCAGCATTCCCAGTGATTTTCATTGTTTAGTCCCTTGGTCTGTGTGGGTCCAGAGTTAATACAATCCCGTACCCTATCTGTTTATACGGCTCCTATCACTGCAGCACAAGTACCAGCATGTTTCACGTCATTGGGAGATCTCCAGTCGCAGCATCAGAATGTAACTAACCTGCAGGGAGCGGTCAGCTCCATCTCTGCAACTGAGCAACAATTCATTTCTCGTCACTGCAGCTAGCACGCACTATGCTGCAGTGCTTGTCCAGTTACTTTTCCCACTGCAACGAGAAAGGTCACAGGTGACTTGAGATGAAAGTCACGTGCCAATGAGAGAGGAGAGAAGGGGAGGAGACGTGCAATAAATCAGGGAGTCCCACTCCCACCCCTTTAAAAAAAAAAAGAGGTGCTTCGATGGCGAGATGATAAATTAACAAGGCAAAGCAAATCAGGAGTCAAGACATCTCCCACAATCTGTACAGAAACAACAAAATATACAATAGAAAATGTCACTACCACCCCATTCAGGCAGATGCATTGGTTTGGTTTTGTCAAAGACAGGTTAGCAAAGGAAATTTTTGACCAATGGTATTTTGCTGCATGGCTGTTTCCACAGCGGTCTCATGCAGTCTAAGTGACCTTCTGCTTGATGCTGGGTGTTTCTGGTCTGTAGTCCTTCCTCTCGGAGATGTTTCGCTTCACCTTGACAGTAACTGGAGACTCCTGATTTAATGAGGGACTCGAATGGGATTTCTTCAGTCCTGGCCCATCATTTCCTCCACTCAGCAGCTCCGTCCCCCCTTCTTTCAGTAGGGCAACATAAATCTCATAGCGGATTTTCTGGAAAAGGAACAAAGGAATGGCTCAGTGTGGGTGAACTTCTCTGGGCTGTGTTAGGCAGGAGGTCTGCCTGGATCATCAGACTGGCCCCTTGAAATCTAGGCGTCTAATATGTATGTGAACAATGGTGGCTAATATAAATTACACCACACAGAAATTGTCTGAGCCAGCCAGAGCCCAGGGATGTTGTACAATTGCCAACATTTATTCCTCAACCAGGCAAATCTTTGCTCTGTACCTAATGGCCCTCAGCCAATAAAGAGTGCAGGGAGATTTACATAACTGATGGGTGGCAGTTTCTGAATAGCCATGCAGGGCATGCGGAGCTGTACCTTCCTGCTGCACAAATAACCCTAATTAAAGCCAACAGGGCTACTCACACCGCAGGGCATTACTCAGTGTGCGTACGCATGGAGGGACGGTCCAAAGCAGCCGTTTTCAACCTTTCTTCATTTGCGGACCCCTAAAATAATGTTGAATGGAGCTGCGGACCCCTTTGGGAATCTTAGACATAGTCTGTGGACCCCCAGGGGGCTGCGGACCGTAGGTTGAAAACCACTGGTCCAAAGGGACTGCGAAAATCTTTCTGCTAAGATTTGCCACTGTCCTCAGAACTCCCCAAACTTCTGTGGCCACAATCAGCCTGGCCACCACAGGTTCTGCTCCCCCGTCCCAGCCCGTGTTACCCTAGATATTAAACCCTGGATCACACAGCGTGCACAGAATCACACCGGTATGCTCGATGTGTGGCTCTCCCACAGAGAGTGGGTGGGTGGGCCAGCCGAACGTTAGCCTTTTCCAGGGCAGCTCTACCCCGCTTTGCCTCCAAGAGGATATTCTGCAAGTCCAGTGTTCGGAAAACAGAATGGGGAAGCGCCTCCTGATAGCCTGAGGTCTACCGGACTCTGCTCCCTGTTCAGGCACCCATGTTTTTATGTACAGCAAAAGCACCCAATCCTAATTTGTTCTGTATCCGGACTAGGGTGTTTCCCTTTATTACAGAGCAATTGTTGCTTTGCAAGTCACAACCATACGGCACCTCACACAATGCCACAGCAATCAACAGGCACAAATAGTCAGTCATAGGAATTTGCCTGCAGGAGTTTAACAAAGTTAGCCAGTACGGCTGGTGATGGGAAAGTGGCAATCCATCTCTCAGCAGCCATTAATGTCAGTGTAGGAATTGGAATCAAGGTGATCACAGTGTGTGTGTGGGGGGGGGAGGAACCCCACACTTCTACTGATTATTAATCCATTTTTCAAAGTAATAAAACAGTCTCTAAATTATGTTCCTGACTGAGCAAAAATGTGTAAAGATAATTCTTTCCGTTTATAATAAAATAATAAAATTCAAGCAATAATAATAATTATTTGAATGCAAAATAGTTAAAAGCCTTGGGAACTGCTTTGAAGAGGACAAAAGATGAGAGAACGTGACCAGGTTTCCAAGAAGTCCTTTGAGAAACAAAATCTTACTGAGAATGATCCCAAGAGAAATCTGCTTAAAAATGAAATGAGGAAAAAACCAGTCGGATCAGTTCCATATCGGGAGGTCCCGCACAGCGCTGCAGAGACAAATACAAGAAAGAGGTATCACCTGTCACTCAAACAAGAACCAATGCGCAGAATTCTGATGATGTGCCGTGCTTCACTGCATAATGAATGGACAGGTTGGCAAGAGGAGGACACAGTTATTGCTGCAAGTGCTGGCTCATCATAACATTTATCAATGAGCAGAGCTGCATTCGCTCTGTGTGGCTCAAATGATTAAGATAAACACAAACCTAAGCCAATGGGAACAACAGAACTAAAACCCTGGGCTGGATTCCTGCCGCAACTGAAGTCGATGGGAGTTTCGCCATTGACTTCAACGGGGCCACAATTCCACTGCTGCTGTCTGTCCTCAGCCTCAATTTAAACAAAGTACCAATAAAGTGGGCTGTAGTCCACGAAAGCTTATGCTCTAATAAATTTGTTAGTCTCTAAGGTGCCACAAGTACTCCTGTTCTTTTTACAAATAAAGGCTTTCTTTAAAGTTAAACTGGAAACATGCTCTCTTTTACAATGATGAGAGGCCATATGGGGCCAGATGGAAATAACAGGGACTTGTTAAAAAAACCACCGTAGGAAACCTCATCAAGAAAATAAGAACGTTAAAGTTGCAAAGGAAAATATTTAAAAGTCTAAATGCCCACGCAACCTTATCGCTGTCCCCTGGTGCATGTGGATTACAGGGCAGTCTTCAGGGAGGCAGTCACCCAGCACAGCCCCTGCCTCCTCTGATGCGCATACACTGCCTCATTCAAA